TATTTTATTATTGATGAAAGCAGTATGGTTGAATGTCGAATGCTTGCAATGATTGATATACGATTGCGCCAAGCATTCCCAGAACATCAGAATATACCTTTTGGTGGCCGATTAGTTATTCTTGTCGGTGATTTTGGTCAACTTCCACTAGTACGTGATTTCCCTATGTATACTCAGAGCTCTCATCAACACGATTCATTATCGAATGATGGCCATGTAGCATATTCCCAATTTCGAGAAGTGTACAAGCTCGATATTGTTCAACGTCAATCTGGGGATTCAGATAACCAACGCTGTTTTAGAAACATTCTATTACGACTGCGCAATGGTGAGTCAACACTCAAAGACTGGGAGATACTTACAACATGACTTGTAGACAAGTTACTCAGAGCAGAGCTTGATCAATTTTCAGGAGCTACATACATCTTAACAAAGTGGTTAAATGTTGACGAAGTCAATTTCGCCAAACTCAGATCATTACACTGCCCTGTTGCTAAGATCCGAGCTGTACATACTGGTGGGCGGGAAGCCTGTACAGCTGACTCTGATGTGGCACGAGGACTTGAAGCTGAAATTCTATTAGTTAAGGAAGCATGGATTATACTTACCGCAAATTTGTGGACATCTGCAGGATTGATGAATGGCGCGATAGGAACCGTTGTGGATATTCTCTACAAAGAAAATCAAAAACCTCCATCTCTTCCTACTGCTGTCCTAATTGCATTCGATAATTATAACGGCCTTATTATTACAACCTTAACAGGCATTAATACAATACCAATCATACCTATCCAGTGTACATGGAAAGGTAAATCTGGGTCTTGCTCACATTTACAAATTCTTGTTTATCTTGCATGGGCTATCACAGTTCATAAAAGTCAGGGGCTTACCTTGTCAAAGGCTATTATAAATTTCGGCACAAAGAAGTTTGCGGCTGGCCTTTCATTCGCGGCAATTTCTAGGGTTTGAGCACTCTGTGATCTTCTCTTTCAACCATTCTCTTTTGAAAGACTTCAACGAATTAAGAAACCGCAAGATTAAAAGAAAGACTACTAGAGGAGGAGCGGCTTCTTAAGATGTCATTTGATGTTTGAATTTTTTTTTTATTTATCTATTTAATTCATGTGAATATAATTAATTATGCTCAATCGATTACTGTTACCATTACATTGTAAATTACATAATTAAATTCGTCCAGGTGATTACTAATATAATAAGCTCGAATTAATTAAAATATAAAATATCGATATTAGATCACTTTATTCTATTTGAGCACGTGTAGATTTTAAACTTAGTAAAAAGGAAGCTCCGGACCCCAACGGTTTCCGTTTCCTAGTAGTATTTTACTTTAATAATTTTTTATATTATTATAATAAAATAATTTGTAATAATTTGTTATATTATATTAATAAAAAATTTAAAAAAATTTTAAAAAAAAAATTGATTTTATTAAATTAATATATATATTAATATTAAAAATTAATAAAACAAATAAATTTATCTATTTTTTATTTTTATAAAATAACTTTAATATTTTTTTAGGTTTTAAATATTTAAAGGGTTTTGTTTTTTTAATTAAAATATTAATTTCAAATTTATTTTTTATTGAATTAAATTTTTTAATTAATTTAATACAAACAATATTATTACTTTTTAGATTATTATATTTATTTATATAAAAAAAACTTGCTTTCTATCAATACAATATTATAATTTATTTTATATATATTTTACTATATAAATACACTAACTTTTTAATCCCAGAGCATAGCCCGGGTAAACGAGCTAGTAGTTTTATATACAGTAGATTAACTTGTATTCAATTCAAACCTGATTTGAAATTTTAAAATTTGATTTGATTTATTTTCAGTTTATAAATTGGATTTAAGTAAAAATCATAATTCCTAGTTACAATTATAAAAATTTAACAAATATTTCGCGTTATTATTATAGAAGTAAAATTTATTTAGAGGTTTGATCTTATTTATATATATGTTTTTAGTTATATTATATATAAGCAGAATAATTATAATAAGACAAACAATTAAAATAGTGAAAACAAGAATCAAAGTAATGTTGATTTTGCTAAATTGCTAGTAAATCCATATAGGTCACAAATATGTACCCTTTACAATATAATAAAATACATGAAAGGTTTAATCGACGGTAACTATTTTCGATTAGTTATACTAATTTTTAAATGCTCCTTCATTTGTCAGGAGACACCATATATTTATTTATGTAAATTTTGGTTTTGCTAATAGCATGTAGCTTATCGTTTTTAATTGATACAGTAGAATAATTGATCAAATAAAATATACAGTATATAGTAGATATAATAACTAGGTAATCTAGTTACCTTTTTCATGCCTCATTAATTAAGCATTGCATGCATTTTTTAATTAAAGAAATTATCACTATTGATCGGGTCACCAATAAGTGGTCCAATAATAAATGTAGTACAATGAATTAACTGTACGTTCATCGCGTGACCGATAGTTGCTCAGGTTTTGCGAAAAACCTGTTCTTGTTTGGCGATGTGTGATTATATAACTGTTAGGGGAGGGGAGAATGGATTGCGGAAATGCATTATGTCAGATAGATCCAGCTCGTTCCCTATCATTTATTGTCATAGCCCCTTAGCCAAAGTAATCAAAATAATGTATGGTAAAGAATAAAATTGGTGTTAATAAAACAGGGAGCACTTTGGTCAAATAAAAACGCCTCACAACTGAGAGGTTTGCTTACCTCAATAACAGATAAGTGAATCTAATCTTTGCTGACTTTAACGACAGACTCGCCGATCGACTATTTCACTAAATGGATAATGTAATGTATTCATAATGGCGATCATATATTGTTAAACGAGTCGTTTCCGTCAAAAGTTGACCGACTGTACAACATGTTTGCTTTCTAAAAAAGGATAGATTTACCTTGTGTAGTGGAATGTGTGCGATAGACAAGAAAATCGTTGGACAATCGAATGAAATACCCCTTTTGCGACACCAACATATTTCGTGTTACATTTATCGAAGAAAAATCAAATGGTAACCCTGACCAAGTTTTAGCATGCCGTTGATTACAATCTGAATTGTGGCTATGAATCAAGAAAACAGACGTTATATCTTAACTATTAACGTTTTTCCCATACTTCCTACCAGTATATTCTCAGAAATTTACAAGACACGAGATCATCAAATCACATGACATTTTACCAGTTCTTTAAATGTATATTTATTATTACCAGTTCTTTAAATGTATATTTATTATTGTAAGAATCATTAAATATAGGCGAATTACTTCACTAAAGTTACATAATCTCATAAGGTTTACTATTATATTTATAGTTATTATTCCATACAGTATTAAGCGAAGAAATTAAATGATAAAAAGTCAAGCCTTTGTTTCAATAACCGAATCCTCGATATCTTGTTGACTTTTGGCATAAGCTCTTATCACCTGGAGAAAGAAAACCTACAGTGCATTAAGAGTAGCCTTGTTTTAATGATTTTATGTTATTTACAGTACATTGTTGAAATGAATAACACTCACCGAGTTGGCAATGATAATAATAGCAGAAGCAATTCCCATAAACATGGTATAGCTATAGATGGAATTACATATTTTATTTGCATCATCCAAAGTTTTATTGTTTTTATTCACCGACGTATCGACGCAAATAGATATGAAGCTGTTCTTGTTCGCAAAAAGAACAATAAGAGAAATAACTTCAAGGAGGAAAAATCCTCCAGCAATAAAGTAAGCCATGCACGAGTAGATTTTTAACATTTTTGCTGTGTTCTATTGATAGGTTTTATAAGTGATGTAAATATTCAATTAATTGTGTCTTTTATACATATGTCAAAAATATAAAAGAAGAAAGAAAAAAACCCACAGCGCAGAATATAACGAAGAATCCAAATATGACATCCCCAGTTAGAAAAGTGCATAAGACAGCGGAAAACAAGGAGAACCATCTAGCACTAGAATAAACTAAAAAAAAAATATATATTCGTACAGTTCCGTGACAATTTGCATGCTTGGCGAGAGAATAAAAAGTAACTCACAGTTAAGGTCTCCGTTTTTACTAGAGCTATAGTACATAAAATTGGCGACGGCACCATACAATGCAATTAACTTTCGACATAAAAAAATTTTTTTTGAGGAAAAAATAGATCATCAATCATTACTGTCTCGTTTCCAAGGAAGATTATGCCACCACTCACCAGCCAAATCGCAGAAGCGACTATAGCACCAACTTTCAAACTCATGCAAAAGCAACAGCTCGTTTTATTAATGAGAATATTCTTGACCATTTTGATATCTTAGTGAACCTTAAATATGAGAAGATAATTAAATAAAATTATTCGTTATTATTTAATTATACGTTTATTCGTTAATTATGGCTTCAATGAATCCGTAACGAATAAAGAATTCAATTTTCGTATTTGCCTCCTTTATATAATAATTTTGAGACATTAATTAACATCAAGATTGTTTATTTTTTTTATTAGTACTAGCATTAAAAACATGATATTGAAAAAAGGTATGCAGCGCGGAATCATCCAAAGAACTCAAGTTTTCTCAAGATCTTGATTGGTCTAACTTTAAGTAAAATACAAACAATTAAATGATCGGGTCCCTTCAATTGTAACTTACAAAAAGATCGGCTGCATTTACAAGTACTGTACCGTGTCTCCTATCCTTATTGGTTTAAACATTATTCCGCAACTGCGTTGAAATAGAAACAAGGTACTACATCTACCTCATTAATTAAAGACAGCAAGTAAAAAGATAGTTGTACAAATTTTTAAATACCCCTTAATATATGGAGGTGCATAATACAAATACTTGCGATTTGTTTCCTGACTAAACCTAAATACAATTATATTACCCTGTTAATTCGCTTCCAGTAACGGTAACAATGCTGATGCGACTTACATTAGCTAACCTTGTTACATATTACATTGATTTCTTTTCAGAACATATGCTGTTACGCCCTGCGATAATCTTTCAAAACCAACTCGCGTTAATAACGAAGCAAATGAAAGAGCATTGCTATTGTAACTTCATCTTTGCATTTCATTTTATGTAAACAAGGATTGACGTTACTTCGTTTCATATACAGTATATTGTACTATATATACATGTACAATTGGTTACTGATGAAAAGAAAGTTCTTTAATATGGGTATTTATTTTTCATAACTTTAAAATATAAAACGATTATATTGAAATTTTTTTACTATCAAACAACGACAATAATAATAATAATAATAATAATGGCTGCAAATATACAGAAAATTTACATAAATTATTGTGAGCGACGGTGAGCGCGGTAACGTGATGCGACATCGCGTCACGTAATTAGGGAGAAACGGTGGGAAAATTGGAGTATAATGAATGACGTTGTAAATAGATATTAGCACGTAAACAGAAAAAAAATTGCTGCATATAAATAAAAATGTAACATTTAGATAGTTTTAAATAAATAGGAACAGTTAAAATATAACTCTTGTTCTGCGAAAAAATTCTGTGCCGACGACAAACTTGCCGTGGAGAACCATAACAATATATACAGTATATTTTTTATTCTTGCTCATTTGTTATGGTGTGTATTAAAAATTGCTTTCAAGAAACTATAGGCAATATATTTATTTTAGCCACAAACAAACAGTATATTGTTTGAAACAGAACGTTTCTAAATTGTGTCGGTTAAACTTTATGTCAGGAATTCAAATTTGAAATAACTTCAAGCCTCTTAAATACATTAATATGTTATTCTTCAAGAGTAACAGCTGCTAATCACATGTTTATAATACTCAGTGTATAAAATGTGATATTTTTGCAATATTTGGATACGAAAAGCTCGTCCCACCAATCAGCAAATGTTTGTCACGTGACATAATCCGCGTAAATATTGTAAGCATAAAGCTCGACTATGCCAGATTAGCTAATACATACTTTGTAATATTTATAATACATCGCTCATTAGCCATTTGTAATGAAATGTATAAAATCAAGTAAATTTATTCAATAAAAAGCAACAACTTGTTTTTTTAAACTTAATTTTTAACACCAACGGTTATGCTATTGCTGGTGTAACATGAGTAAAGGTAACATGACCCGTACTGAGTAATCCATAATTATGAGTTATGGCTGACCGAACACAATCGCATGGCATTGAGTCAATTCAGCTTTAACTTAATAGTTTTATTTATTATCATTATGTAATTAACATGAAGAATTTATAAAAGGAAGAAAGAATTAATAAAAACGATCAGTTGCCACTAGCGTAACGTGACACTACCATTTTCACCACCTGTGGAACTGGCGTCCTTGCTTGGATTCTGATTTAATCTTGATGATCCTTACCAGACACACTTGGTCTTAATGATTTTTGCCTGGATTGTCACCTCCTGTGGCAAATAACCTTTGCTCTTTCAGTCCAATTTAAGTTCATATGAACACCACTCTAGGAATAGATCATCAAGCTCCAGATTGGGATAGATCAGTTTAGGATTAACCTCTTTG